CGCTGCGGCCCCGCTGCTCTCCAGCCGACTGGCCTGCTTTCCCACCATTGGGCCCGGCCTTGCCGCTCTCCGGATTCCTGGGGGCGGGGAGGGCCTCAGCGCCGGCGCGGGTTGGGGGTCGGAGCCCGGGGCGCGGGAGGGTCTGCGGAGGGCGGGTCCGCGGAGGGCAGCCCGCGCGTGCCAGGTTTGCCCTTCGCTGCCTAATTTTCCTCAACGCGCGGGCTCTGAAATTGGTACGTGCTCGGAAGGCTTTGGGTCAGGGTCTGCTGGCACGTAGTACAGTCCTTACGGGGAGACTGGGTGCGAAAACTCTTTAAAACGCTTTCTCGCGGTAAAAAACCTTTACACTCTACCGATTGGTGTTGAAGTGTCTGCATTTGAGCTGCGCGGCGATTTTGTTGTGGCCGTGGGCGGTTTGGAGTTTACACTTGATTCTCTTTCCTTATGAGGAAAAGGCAGTGGCTAGGATGACTTTAAAGAAAAAAATAGTAGAAGCATTAACTGAAATCCAAAAGTGTTTTTTTAAGGCCTGCAGAGTTGACACAATACAGAAGGTATTTTTGCTGCTGCTCCTGAACCTCTGACATCACCCAGTGAAATAGGAAACATTTCAGGGATGGGACAACTTGTATTTGTCCCTTTCGCTCTACCTTCCATTTGCTTCAGTGTTTAAATTTCTTTAAGAAAGGTGAATGGCAGGATGAGTTAGAATCCTTAGGTGTGTCATATGCTGGTACTTAAAATGTGGCAAATCTGATTGAACTACTTGCACGGTATGCTGCAGTTTTTGATGTCCAGACTAAAGTGAATTCTCCTTAGGCAAACAGTAATTTTGGTTAAAACCAATATTCTTGTTTTTAATTACTGTTTTTTGTTTATTTTCAGGCTTCTGGAGTTACAGTGAATGATGAAGTCATCAAAGTTTTTAATGATATGAAAGTAAGGAAATCTTCTACACAAGAGGAGATCAAAAAAAGAAAGAAAGCAGTTCTTTTCTGTTTAAGCGATGACAAAAGACAAATAATTGTAGAGGAAGCAAAGCAGATCTTGGTGGGTGACATTGGTGATACTGTAGAGGACCCCTACACATCTTTTGTGAAGTTGCTACCTCTGAATGATTGCCGATATGCTTTGTACGATGCCACATACGAAACAAAAGAGTCTAAGAAAGAAGACCTAGTATTTATATTCTGGTGTGTAAAAACAAAAGAAAAAAATACTTTTAAAATGCAAGGATTATTATTATCATAGTCATTTTTGCCTTTGTTTTTCTTATAAGTGGGATTCAACAATTGTTTGTTTTTCTGTAGGGCTCCTGAAAGTGCACCTTTAAAAAGCAAGATGATTTATGCTAGTTCTAAAGATGCCATTAAAAAGAAGTTTACAGGTATAAACATTGACTATTTCGTGCAGAGAGATTATTCTTTCTTAATTATAAGAAGATAATTGGATAACGTTTTGCTTTGTTTTTTTGTTTGTTTTTAGGTATTAAACATGAGTGGCAAGTAAATGGCTTGGATGACATTAAGGACCGTTCGACACTTGGAGAGAAATTGGGAGGCAATGTAGTAGTTTCACTTGAAGGAAAACCATTATAAAATAACAGTCAAGTGCCATCTGGATCTTAAGGAGCTTCCATTACTCCATTGGAATAGTATTAGGTTTTGTTGTTGTTGTTTTTCTTCCCTTTCCACTGGGCCCTTCCAACACAATGAATGAAAGATATCATTCATTTCAGCAGCCTATCAGTGA